GCTGCTTGAATGGGGAAATTCTGTGTTGCTGATCCTGTTCCTCCATGGCCTCCCTATTTTGGATTATAGCCATCCTGTGCTGCGGCATACTGCCCCTGCTGGGCCTGCCTGTCATAGGGTGGAAACTGGCTGTTGGACAGAGGTGGGGGTGCTTGGGGAGTTGGAGGAGGCTGCAGTGTGTGCCACGGGGGTGGGGGCAGAGAAGGCAAGTTGTGTGTGTGCTGCTGTGCTCCCCACCTGTTGGGACATCTAGCTGCCCAATGATCTGTGCAACCGCAGACGTGGCAGTGCATTTGTTTTTGGGGGTTTCTGTTTTGCTGCTGTCTGTTTTTATTTTGATAACCCTGTGACTGTCCTTGGTTCTGATACTGTGGTGTGTGGTTCTGTCCCTGAATCTGCTGTGAGTTATTCTGACCCTGATAAGCCTGTGTGCTGTCCTGAGGAAGTTGTTGCAGCAGCTGGGCAGTTCGGGGGACCAGAAACATCTGGCTTCTGTGTAGGGCCCGCATGGTGGCGACAGTACCTTTCCAGGTTTTTATCTGCCAATCAGGGGTGGCTAACATGTACGCCTGAGCTGTCTCTGGGATAAGGTTATGCAATAAGCTCTGTACTGCAAACAAATCATTGATCTCTCTTTTAATGCCTGCACTGTTGTCCCACACTGTTATGAATCTCTGGATACATTCTGGCACTGTTTCTGTAGGGCCCTGGATGCAAGCCATCAATTGGGAAAAATCAGTGTGGGTTTTAGCACATGCTTTGATAGCTTTGGCTGCGTCAGTGTCTAGCCACTGAGTGAGGGACTGTGATACGGGCCAATCTCCTGCGTCTGTGCACACTGGAAACGTAAACTCATCTTTGCACGTGGGCCATTCTGCCTTGTATGTGAGGACGATCAGCTGTTTAACATCATGCACTAAACAGTTGTACACCATGCACACATTAGTCAGCCATGATAGATACTCATCTGGGTTTTTAGTGGGGTTGGGAGCGTGTCTTGTGACATCTATAACCTCTGAGGGAGTCCATGGTTTGTAAACCGGGACTTCTCCTATCAGGATTTTCGGGAAAATTAGTGCTTCTGCGCTGCACTATGTGTGTCTCGCTCTAGCGCTGAATGCGCCGCCTGTCTTGTGATCCTTTTTTCCTTGAGTGCCTCTAACAGAGCAGGGGGGCTTCGTGCTGGAGATGGCTCTCCTGAATAATCAGAATTCTCACCTTCGCTAGTCTCACTGTCGCTCTTGTGATAGGGCATGTGTAAAACTGCGTTCTTCTCTGCGTGTGTGTCTAGTATTTCTTGTTCCCTTCTCTGTTCCTCCAGAAATGCTAACTGTCTCTCTTCTTTCCTTCTCTGTACTTCTACCTGTCTGTCGTTTATGATAGCTGCAGCTGTCATTAGCAAGTCGTTATCTGAGTTTCTGGCAATAGGATTTGGTTCATTTGTGTCTCTGGTGGGGATCACTTTGGGGCAGAGAGTTACAGTGTGCTCTTTGATAATGCTCTGTGTCAGTGGGACCCCCAAGATGCTAATCACTTGGGACGGGAGGGGAGCTTTGCCCTGGCGCTTAAGCCAGTCAAACATTACAGCTTTAGCTATGGCCGCTACATCTTTGCCATGCCTCTCTTTTATTTTGGACATGTTCTCTGCTCTGACTTCAAAAGCGGCTTCTAAGCTAAGCAAGTGACAACCCGCAACACATTTGGAAACATTATCAATCATCGTTCTGAGCTCACTGGAGCCCCACCTCCACTTTCACTCTTTTTGTCATGAAATCCTTTTCTGTCTCCCACAGACATCCACGCTCTCACACATTATTTCATGTACACTGTGTCCCAAGAGGGATTCGGTTCATCCTCCACGATTTGAAACACTTGCCACAGGACACTCATGTTAAAAGTGTCTGTGTATGGCCATTCAAACGGGGTTTTCCCTCTCTGATGGTTCCGCTGTGAAAATTCGCACATCAGCGCTGTAAAAGGCATCACATGATTCCAGCCTACAGCTCTGCCGACTATCCCGGACGGCATATTTGGGGAAAACATGTGTGTGTAGTTCTGGTTGTCTGTTGTGAATTGTGGGGGGTGTACTAGTCTAGCTTGAGTCTGTCCTTTATTGTGTGTGTGTGTTTTAGCTTTAACAACTGGCTCAGGTGTGGACACATGATTACCCAGTTTTTATGGTTAGTACAAGAAAATCAACACTGCAATTTGGACAAACAAACATGAACTCGCAATAAATACCAGCGTGACAGCAAAGTTCATTCAGCTCAATTTAGTCCGAATTAGGAGGTTTCAGAGGGGGTAGGGAATTATAGAAATGGAGCACCTTGACTCGCGCATCCACCCTTGTACAAGTGCTAAGATCGTGCCTGAAGACCGTCCAAAAGCGATAACTAGCTTATCCTCTTGCGACAACCACTACTATATTCTAGTGTCGCTATGATCCCCCGACCAGGAGAACATAGACTTTTTTCCCCTACCCTTTCTCTCCAAAAACAGCACAGTTAACTGTAGTCCTACACGACCAGCCTATACACCCGCCATCGAGTTCATCACAACGATGAAACACAGTTTTGTTTCTACGCTTGCTTGCCACTGCCCACCCGTGATCAATTAGCCTATAATTGTTATGTATGCACCCCGGACCGCCACCAGCTGATCCAGCGGAGTAGGGAACGCTTCCAAGCAACGTAGGAAATGTTCCTCCAGCAGAGTAGAGAGCTGTGGCGCATCGGGCGATGCACGCACCTCGTGCTGCCCCGGTCTTACCAGCAATGCAGAAGACGGTCACAGACAACGAGTGCTTTTAGGCCATCTCGTTTTTAATAGAGATGGCGGTGGTGTGAGTTAAAGCTTATAGACAAAAAGGCTGTGACTTTCTTCCTCTCAGCTGCACGGCTGCAGCCACCCAAACGCGGGGAGGTATTTACACACACACCCCCGGCTGCTGCTGGAGCCGTGCTCACAGAGGCGATGGAGGGAAATATCTCTGGCTGCTGTGTTTGGCCGCTGAAACCCCCAGAATTCGGCTATTTGTTCAATACAAATCTTTACATTGCTTTTAAACAGAAGTTCCACTTTACTGATGCCTTTCTTTAAGGTTACTCTGAACATGAGCTTGTATGGCACTTCCGTCCCGAGCAGCACACACAGAGGAAATCAGCCAGGACTGAGTCCCCAGACACTGATTCCCTGGGTTTTTTTATCCCCAAATGTTCATTAACCAAAACGAAATACCATATATTCTGGTAAGGCAATGTCCAAATGTGGATTTGAAATTACACTTACCAGTCTCTGAAGATATGTTGGTATCCTGCCGACAACGCCAATTTGTGGAGGAAACTTCTGTGTAGCAATGCATTGGGAGTCACCGACTCAGGAAGGAGACACAGGACGAGCAGGAGTTCTGATGTCAAACACTGGCAGTTTATTACAAGCATCGGCCGAAGAAATTCACATCACAAGTCACAGCAGCAGAAAGTTCTGACTGCAATCCCTTCTCATCTTGGCAGACCTTTAATTAGCTTCACTCAGAGTCAACTCACATATTGGGGGGGAAGGTGTACGTGTATATGCCAGTTTATTAGGTACATTTAAGGAAAGCTAATGCAGTCTATTACAACAGTCCTGCAATAAATACCCCTTCCTGATCTTTGTTGAAAGAGTTTAAGAGAGATGGCGATTCAACTGTATGTTATTGCTGTTGATGTATTTATCTTATACACTTATATATGTTGATTACTTTGTGCTGTGCCACTGCAAGTCCTGTTCCTGCCTATTGTCAACACTGCCTCTCTTTTTCTCGCTTTCCGTTGATGTCCACCATCTATTAGGCAATGGCATTTTCACAGTTACTCCACCTGAAAGACATCCACCATTTATGAGTCCAGATTTCAGTTACCCTGAATTGTCCACATTAAATGGTGAGTTTTTAGTGCAAATACATATCCTGAAGTGTACATGGAACTATTCTAATACATAATTCTCAATTTTAGGCCCACACACTACCAAAATCAATGGCATCATGAAGTATGTCGACAAAAAAAAGTATTATTTAATGCATAATTTTGTTTCAGTAAACATATTTCCAATGCGGTTATTCATAGGAAATGTTGACAAGACATTGGTATTTACTCAGGATTTCTTGAGTTAATACCAAAGTCTGGTCAAAATGTTCTGTGAATAGAAATAGGTTTACTGACAAAAATGTTGACGCGTTGAATACTTATTTTCCCCACTGTATGTGAATATGCAAAGCTATATTGTAAGAATATGTTTTTTGTTGAACCTATACATTCTTTAATTCAATGCTAGACAAATGATGGGTGCACCCTGTGGAATACAAAAACATATATATACTGTATATTTCTTAAACCTGTCTTATAAGTATTACAGTCTTTTAGTTTATATGTTTGTGTTGCCAATTTCTTTTCTTATTTATTTATAATCTGCTTATCACTATTGATTTGCTTTTTGCCAAATAGCCAGCGACGGTCGGGACCAAGGAGGCAGGGGTCATTTCACACAATGAATGGGGCCCACAACACCCAGAAATGAGCATGTCTTCAGACCCACATTTAGGGTTGGGGGTGATAGTGGCCCGATTCCCTGCACAGGTAAGACAAATCGTGATAGTATTGTATCTTGAGTTACTCTGCGAATCCAACCCACACACATTTCCCCTATACTAGTATATTTTGAATGGTTAGGCTAAGTTTTTAATTTAGGAGTGATATCAAAATTCTATTAACTGACTAAGCATTATATGGTCTTGCCCTATCAAATATCTTTATTTTTCCACATTATTTCAGCTGCAAAGCTGCATGGCCTGTTGCTGCTATATTAAGCAGCAGGTCAACCAGTTAGCAGGAACTTTAAACATTTTCATGGCGAAAGTAGGATCAGGGCTGCATGCCTCAACCTACGAGATGCCCGAAGAGTTCCAATTCCCCCTCGACAGCGATGGGGAATTGGAGCGTTTCGAAGAGTGGCCCTCTAAACCCTCTAAACGAAAGAATGAAGACAAATCTTGTAAGTATTTTTATGGGACATGTTTTCATATGCTCAATACAAAATGTTAGCCTTGTTTGTCTTTGAGTTTGTTGCAGTAATGTTGACATGTATTTTCAGTTCAGTTTCCATTCTCCACCTAGGCGACTTCGCTCTCCTCTGTTGGAGGGGTGGACACTAAGAGGGTTGTGTGGAATATTCTGGCAAGAATGATTACCTGCACCGTGGCACACAGGATCAATTGGAAGGGAGTAAACGGCAAAAGGGCCTTCAATAAAATGGCCATGAAAATCGTTCTTTTCCGTAAGTGTCTTTCCAAATGTTTATTTCATCATAATGGTGTAAAAAGAATTAGATTGGCCTAGTTGAATTAGATTGCATTCACTCAATTTCCATCTTCTTAACAGACACTTCTATCCTACAGGTAAAGTTTAAGCAACAGTTTGTTCTCTTGGAACTGAATCTATTACCTTAATCTTGTAAGCACTTTGTTTCACAACACTCCCTTAGCCTGTCAATCACTACCTTGTAAGTCTTTCAACTGCTCGTGCCTTTTTGGCATCACATTAGATGATTGGCTTAATTTGTGCGTGTCATGTGTTGCAACGGTCAGCAATTGGCTGCTCTACTGCACTGACTGGGAAATGTTCTATCGCCCCAGAAGAGAGGGGATGAACAGGAAGCTAATTTATTTCAATAACTATTTGTTTATTTTAAAACTATTCATACATTTTTATTTATTTTTAACAAACAAAGCGAGAAGGAAAACGAGGAAGGAAGGATAATGAGAAGGAAAACAGACATTTACAGTAAACTAACATATTATGTATGAATGCAATATTTTTCTTAATTTTGGCTTAGCAGGCCCCTGACTGTCCGCCACTGACGCCTACTCTGAATGCCACCTCTATGGTCTCTGTCCCCATTGCATGTGCAGCATGTCTTAACGTTACATTCACCCACTGGCTGTCAATGGTCTCTGTTGGCCATTGCTAAATCACCTTTCTTTGTAGATGGCACTACAGTCTAGCAGTATTAGAACAGTGTAAGAACTTATTTTGTGTGTTTGTTTTACAATAGGTGCAGTGCGCAAATGCGCTATAACGAGTGCAGCGATGGATGCAGACATATCCCAGCATACCATTCGCTGGTTTAACCTGGCAAGCGACAGGGAAGGGGGCCGCCAGGAGAGACAGGAGAGGAGACATCAAAGCCAGGATACACTGCCCGTCCCCGATCGACAATATTAATTATTTTATCGTTTTTGTTTTGTTTTTAAATTTAAGTTTACAGTTCATGTTTTAATAAAGTTTCATGTTCACGTATACAGCAAACATCTCGACTTGTATATTGTTATTTTATGTTTCTGATACCTTGAGTAAAGTAAGTGTCTGAAGTAAATACCACCACCATGATAGTTAGTTTGTTTGCTATGGTCACAGCACATTACCTAATGCCAAACATAATCTGAGGATTTACTTGGTAAACTGCAGACGTGTTAAACACCATCACATGTTGTTCATCATTTACACAGTTCCTCCTTAATTTCGCTTGCCTAGCTCTAAGCTATTGAAAAGTACTTAACGTTTATGAATGTACCTCCTTCATTTGACTGGTCCACTAACTTTAGATGAAAAGTGAAATGGCGACACTTCCATGAAGACTTAAATATAGCCAATATTAGCAAGGTTTAATGTGTTTAAATGCCGAAGATAAGGCAAAAATTGAAGTTGGCAGTAGTCTGGTATCGCGTCTGGTAAGCGGATCCGTATCGCATCTGGAACGCGGGTCCGTACCGGATCTGGAACGCGGAGAACCATATTGAAACGGAGCTGGACCAGTGCTGGTCCTTATCTGTCGCCGATCCGTTTTGCGGATCCGATCCAGTTTCGGGCCGATGTGCGTTTGGACAACGGACCGAGTCCGTTTGGCGGGTCCGGGCCAGATCGTCTGCTAGGTGCGGCCCAGATCCGGCCCAGTGTCTCTTTGTTATCTGGGGACCCATCTCTTTAACAACCTGCCTTTAGTTACAAATTATCTTAATTCACCATGCACATTTATTAAAACATTTTATCAGACAAATATAGGTGTACTTAGTCCCAGCCTGATTTGGCAGCATTTCGTTTCCCACTGAACATGTGCTCCAGCTTAACCCTTGCACCAGTGTTGTAGTCAAGTCACCAATTCACGAGTCCAATTCACGAGTCCAAGTCACTCTCGAGTCCCCACTCTTCGAGTCTGAGTCCAAGTCCGAGTCACCCAAGGAGTGTCCGAGTCGAGTCCGAGTCCGAGTCATCATTACCTGTGTTCGAGTCCGACTCCAAGTCCGAGTCACCCAAGGAGTGTTCGAGTCGAGTCCGAGTCACCATTACCTGTGTTCGAGTCCAAGTCCGAGTCACCCAAGAAGAATCCAAGTCAAGTCCAAGTCAAGTCCGAGTCACAAGTCTTGTATTAATCTTAGTGGATATATGTGTTGAAATGTAGCTGTAGCTCCTCTACATTGCTTTTATCCTGTCATGGTATACTAATGTGTCTATTGAACTGCTGTGAAGCGAGTGTGGCTACAATTGTTGTATTAAAAAAGGTGCTATACAAATATAAAGCTTATTACTAATAATAATTATTATCATCAAGGTTGAGTCCAGTTCCAATATTGCCTCCAGTGCTCTGTTCTGGCATCTTCAAAGAGCTGCTTTACAAATGAAAATGGTATACATTAAACACAATGACACAATGTCACAATTGAACTTATTTAATGGTTTGAAAACCCACAGAAACTGAAAATACATTATTAAGAACAATAGAACATGAGAAAGCATGCAGGGCTTTCTACGCAATATAAGTAACATTTTCATTAAATTTCCAATTTGAATCTGGCTCGAATTACAAAGTCATAGAACCAATTCCTCTCTATGTTAGTGAAGTGATGGGGTCCCCTCTCCTACCCTATGGGCCCTATTGGACAGACACCCAGTTGAAATTATGCATTTAGAATACTTAAAAAGCATCTTACAGGTGTACGGAAAACCACAAACAACACCAGCAGAGCAGAATGAGGCCAATTCCAATAGAGTGCCACAGTGACGCGTCCTAAAACCCGGAAGTAAACTTCTTCCGGTTCCTTCGTCAAAGAAGCAATGCATTTTCTCCATAGGATTTTGGAAAATAGCTCGAAATAAGGTCTGTGGTTGACACACAATTAAGAGACAGATCACGTGGAGATGATCTGTCTCTTAAATGTGTGTCAACCACAGACCTTATTTCAAGCTATTTTCCAAAATCCTATGGAGAAATTGCATTGCTTCTTTGACGAAGGAACCGGAAGAAGTTTACTTCCGGGTTTTAGGATGCGTCACTGTGCCACTCTAGTCTGGCAGGGAACTTTAGTCTGGCATAACAATATGTTTTTAGCTGCTAGCGTCAGGAGCAGATGAGCACCCACTCAGGCACACACACTTAAACATCCTTGTTGCATTTTAAAAGCATCAGATTTGACAACATCGAACAACTCAACCATGCACGGTGAGGCCTCATAAAAATGCCTCCATGACTGAATACCCTTTCAATGGGTGCACTGGAAGCAGGGATGGAGAATACCTGTGTGGCAACCTGATAGAGGACAGGGAACTGGGATTTATTTTGTTGCCAAAACTTGAAGCATGGGTCTGAGGCCTGGTTGTCGATCAAGTCGAGGTATGCAGTCAGCTGAGCCTGGACAGACCGACTGTTGGTGGAGGAGGGAGTCTTGCTGTAGTGGGAGAACATTCTCAGCTTCTTCTGAGGAGCTTCAGGAGCAGGAGGAGACACTGGAACATCACCTTGTTCTGGTCCTGCTGCTGTGTCTGCTGTTGAGATCATTTGCTTCTTACCCTCTGCCTTGATACAATCTGAAATGAGAGGGTATACTTTTGTGAATAAATCTGCTACTGATCTTATCATTTTGTTTGTGATACCATTTATAGATGATGTTAATTTGTTTTACTTGAAGAGGCTAATGTGTAAAAATGGCCTTATAATTGGGTAATTCTTTCCATAAGGATTGAGTATTCTTATTTTGGCTACACACACCCCAATATCTACAAACAGATAAACCACTTCTAGACATTCATGTACACATATAACTATAATTAATAATGGCTAGTATAAGTTAGAGCCTGCATACATATATAACAAGTGAACATGTCTCACCAATGATCTGAGTCATTAGCTGATCTTTGTCATCACTGTCCAGCTGCACATCATGTTTTAGCCACTGGAAACCAAACGATGGGTCCAACACAGATGCTATGAAGTAGGCAGTCGTGAAAGGAAATTTGGTGGAACCTCTTCCTTCAGCTGGCTCGCATCCTGGCATCTTCACTGCTTGGAAGATCTCTGTGAACCTTGTTTTCAAGGAGCTCGCCAGAGCTCTCACCAGGGGCCCAGAGTATCTGACTCTTCCTCTTATTTCCTGCAGATGGCAGTGCAGAGAAAGAACACAGGGCACAACCACACTGGCTGTGACAGTTTTCTCTCCCTGAGTCAGGTCGGTTGCCTCCAGGAATGGGTCAAGAACTTCGATGAGTTCTTTCAGCTGAGCATAATCTCGCTGGGATAAGATGAGGGCTTTGTGTCCCTCTGAGTTCAGCATATAAAAGAGATTTTGCATGTCAAATTTAACATACGCCTTTACCTGCTTTAAAGTTGAATTCCATCGTGTGGCATTTGCTGATGGAATTGTGGCATCCCCAAAGCAGGACTCAAAGCGGTCTTTAAATGAGGTGCTACTATGGAGGAGGCTGGCTGTGCGGGATAGCTTGGCTAGTGTACCTGACAGCCCACTGGCTTCTTTCAGACCATCTTTGATCACCAACTGCAGTGTATGCGTGAAGCACGACAGTCTCTCCATCTTGCAGTTCTGATCCAGAGCAGCAATAACTGCATGTTGATCCTCTGTCGTCCTCCTCCTCCTCCTCCTCCTCCTCCTCCTCCTCCTCCTCCTCCTCCTCCTCCTCCTCCTCCTCCTCCTCCTCCTCCTCCTCCTCCTCCTCCTCCTCCTCCTCCTCCAATGTGCCTGGATCATTAGTCTCTTCCTCACACAGCACTGTAGCCTCCTGTGATAGAAAGCTGGCCTGGAATGCTTTTCGCATGTTTGATGCATTGTCAGTTATAATAAAGTTGATCTTATCCTTAATAAGATATTCTTCTGCACACATTTCAAACATATTGGCTATCTTCTCTCCTGTGTGTTTTCCAAGCACTCTTTCACACATTAGCAGATGTGTCTGGAGGATGAGTTCGTCTTTTTTTCAGACACTGTGTGTGCTGTCACTCCAAGGAACGACCGCATCTTTCGATCGCTCCAAATGTCTGCGGTGACAGCAACACTTGATGCTGCTGCTAGTTGGCTCTTTATTTTTTCTTTAAGGACTGTGACCATTCCTGGAATGGTCACAGAGGAGATGGTTGATCTTGCTATTGGCCTGTATTGAGGGTCTAAGACATGGAGGAAGTGCCTGAAGTCCTCGTTGTCGACAATGGAGAGAGGCAAACAGCATTTAATGATAAGGTCTTTCACAACAGCATCACTTATGGATTTCTGACGAGGATGACTGGGGTCATAGATCCTTCGCTGTCCTTCACTGAAAAATGACGTTATACTCTGACTACTAGACCCAGCAGCCGATGTCACATCGGAGGAAAGTGATGCACGGTATTGTTGGTGCCTAGGGGAAGAAAGAATACACACTTTAGCTTCTTGATGCCAAATAATTTCAAAAAATTAATTTTCACGTTCATTGTAGGCTAGGGGCGGGCTAGGCTACTCATCATCTGCAGTATCACCAAGGACATGTATAGCTTTTTAACAGTATCTATCTAGACAATAAAACTGCACTTGGTCCCTAGGATGTGATATCAACCCCTACCTCCATCTAACCCGACATCTTAAAACCTTTGTGGAGTCAATTTAGTGGCTAACGTTAACATGGGTTAGCAAGCTAACAATAGCATTTCTACTTACTTTTCTGGGTGCCGCCGTGAAAGGTGTCGATTGAAATTCGACGTTGTCCCAGTCTTCTCTTCTATCTTCTGTCCACATAATGTGCATTTTGCGCTGCTCTTTCCCAATATGGAAACGAAATCTTTAAAAGCATACAGCACGATGCGGGGTGTGTCTCTGGACATCTTTAGACTGGTATAGCAGCGGGGGCGCGCCCAG